CATCTTAGAAGAATCTCATTGACTTGTTCCATAGCATCTTTGGTTTACCTGAGTGGGGAAAAATGAGGCATACTTCTTACTCCATGACGTTGGTCAAAGTGCCCGGTGGTCTATGGCGCATTTAGAGTGACATGGGGGACTCATAAAGTTTCCAACAACCAACAAGGGACTCATACCATTCGCCATTTCCTCTTGGGGAAACAAGTCGATTGGGAATGTGGGCTCATATCTCTAGATATCTCTAGAATGTACTCAGATTTCTCCAGTTTTCAGTGGCACCCTCTAAATCCCCTTTGCTTTGCTGGGTTCACTGGAAATGGTGGCCCCGGAATGGATTTCCAATTCTTGCTCCAGGGTCACTGAACAACTTTTCCGGACTTTTCCAACAAGTCGCGTGCGATCGGCCTTGCGGCGGAACGCACCCTCCACTCTGCACATAGTGGACGCCCAGTGGCGGAGGAAACTGTCGCGCCGCTGCGGCAGTGGCATTCGTGTCCGTACCATTGGCTCAAACACTCGGGGCCTCTGGCCAAGTTCAGGCATACCGCATACCTGGGAAACGAAGAGGAGGCACGCCCTGTGTAACAAGTCCCATGACCCACGGCACACCCTGCAGCTATACGCGCACCATAGCAAGGAAGTAGCCTTCGGCTCCAAGAGGATGTGCAGCTGTCGCTTGGTCCACCTGCTGCTAGGTGTATTCACACCACACCTACAGCACACCCAGCTGCCATGCTATTGGCACTCTGCTGCTGGTCCTCCGTTTCTGAAAAAGGCAGGCGGGAAAGACCTGCAGTAAGCACTGTCTGTCGCCCTCCTGCTTGCCCTCACCGCTCCACACCTTGGCTGTCCCTATCCAGGGGCATCATTCAGCCAAGGCGATGCATCGAACTCTTTGTGCTGCCAGGTTTTCAATACCTGAAGCGCCTGCAGACTCACATGAAGGATCTTTGAAGGCCAATACCAATGCTTCCACCATGACCTTCCCAGCGACTGTCCTGCAAGTGAGGGAATTGCATCTTGTCCTTGGCGCGACCCAAACCCTAGTAGGTAGCTCGGGCCAGGGCTGTCACGGAACAACTGGGACTGGTCAGCTTCACGAATTCTTAAGACCTGAAGCAGGGATCACATGTCCTGGGTGGAACCCCCATATTTACCGCACCCAACCCCCCCTTCCCCCATTTCGTTGATACCCACAAAAGGCCCGGCTTTTGGTTGTAACTGGGGCCACCCTCCTGTTTTTTTCAGGACCCCTCCGTCAGGTCCCGCGTTGTGGAAACCTCCGAAGAAAAATCGGCGGGCGCTTCAGGGGATGAACTTCCGGAAGTGCGGCACCTGCCAAGCCGGCGGGCACCGCCGGGACGCGGCCTTCTGCTGGCGCTGCGGCGCGGTGATGCCCGTTGACTGACCGACGGACGCCGCGCGGCGCCAAAAAAACAAAACCTCGCCCGCCCAGGGCTCGGAATTCGGGAGTCTGAGGTTCGGCCCCCCCCGAAATGCGGAAAACACATACCTTTTGAGGTTGTTTTCTTTACGGTTTCCCTGTCGTTATCAACTTGCCCCGCAATCCATTCGGCGCGCTTGAGACAAGACTAGGGAGATGATAGGGAAGATCACATCTTCAGCCGGGATGAAAAAAGAGATTCGAAATGGGTGTTCGTTCTGTTGAGGGTACCCCTTTCACCTTGGTTCAAAGGGAAACCACCGGAAACTGCCATTCTGAAGGGTGGTCCCCATTATTTTGGCCCAAATCTCAGGCATGTTGTTCAGACTGTTTCATATTTAGTCTACCCGAACATATTGAACATAATTTGGAGACCCAGATAGCTTGACATCTCTCAAATAACTTCGAAGAGCCTTGGCGCACGAAAACTCAAAGCGACTGTTGCAAAGCATGACATGCCAAACAAGTCACATGGCTGAGTAGCCTTGTTCCAGTAGTTTGTGTTTCTTCATTGGCAGGCATTTCTTGATGTTTGTGGTTTCTGTTCAATCTTTGTCTGAGCTTGGACGAGTTCCTGAGTAGGCACAAAGGGATCGCAGGATTGCATCCGGGGACGGGGTGTCTTTTTTGAGTACCAGTTTCTTTCTTTTTGTGTGTGTGTGTGTGTGTCTGTGTGTATTTGTTTCTTCTTTTGAAAGATTCTAGGCTGAGGAACCTTGGCTGCAAGAAATTGCCGGTACTTGTTGTTCGTTCTTGCCCTGCATTCTGGTAGCTTAGCTTGAGGTGCCTTGAGTAGCCGGTAGCTTGCCGCATGCTTAGTAGAGCTTAGTGGACGTGGGTCAAGCTAACTTGCTAGGTCTTTATTATCGGCGAAAACCAGTGGACACGACGCTTCGTATGTCACGCAGGAGACCGGTTCCTGTTGCGGGATCCGATTTCATGGATCCCGTTGCATCAAGCCGTAAGGGACCCAGGGACCCTTGGTCCGGGTACAACCAAAAGCCATGCTGATTTACGGACATGGGAAGCCTGGCAACCCCAGGGGTCCTTTTGCCACCTTGAGAAAATTGGCGACCTCAAAAAGGAATCCTTCACCAGGTAATCGATCATTTTTCCACCAAAGGTGGGCAAAAAGACCACCAAAGCGGCCACCCAACCCCTCACCCCCGTGGCTCGCCTTTTTTTTTGCGCCCGAGGCGCTCCGAGGCGCTGGGTCAAGTTTCGGGGCTTGGGCCCCAGCTGCTCATGAGGATTTTCCTGACGGCTGCTTGAAGTCACGAAAGCCCAGCATGAACCTGGGCGTTAGTCACTTGGGACGACCATTTGAGTGGCAACAAAAAGGCCTAAGGTTGCTTGTTGAGCCAATCCACTCAGGAAGTGAGTTTACGTTACACCTCCTGAGCCTTTTCCTTCACTGGGCTTGGCTCTGGTGATTTCAGGCATCCGCAGCTCTTCCCAAAATGGACCACACTCCCGGCCATCCCAAAGCCGACGTCCATATTGTTTCCCTCAGCCTCAGGAGGGAAATGAATCAGGATTCGCTTTTCGGCTCTTGAAGCCTGTGGCAGGATTTGCTTTTCAGCTCTTAAGCCGCTTAAGTCAGCATTCACTTTTCGGCACTTCTCGGCTCTTTAAGCCTAAGAGACACGTCTGCAGAAAGGCCACTGGTTCTGCGGCCTCCGTCTGATTTCTAGGCCTTTGTGCAGAGGCCCTCGCACCACAGGCTTGTGAGCCTGTGCACAATACCCAGCCCCAGCCCGCCTGTGCAGCCATTTGAGTGCCCTGCATTCAGATCGTTTTAATCTTTATACAGTTACACAGTAATACAGCTGTACATACATGTATGTACATACTTGTATAGGTATGTATGTAGCATATTTATGTATCAACAGAACTCGAGGTTCCCAATCCAAGCCCAACAGTGCTCTTTGCCATCGAATGGCTACACCGGGAGACTGAGCCTCCTTGATGGTCGGCCATGGTTGAACCATGGTCTCAAGTTTTCCCGAGGCGAGCCCTTTCATCTGATTCAAAGTGTGACCTCAAATTGGGAGCCTGTTTGGATTGCTTTACGGGGGTTCCCCGAACGCCTAGACGTATTAGTGCTTCTCAAAATTGATCCCTTCCAGGTAGGTGGTTTTCTTTTAGAACCATCCAAGAAGGGGGTCCATATTTTCCTATTTTGAGACACACCCGTATTATGACTCAGACTCGAAAGGGAGCCATTGCCTGGTGACTAGGGGCCAAGGACCAAGAGCTGCCGGGAAACCACGGATTGGTTGCATGACACAAGTGACAAAGGCATCAAGACTGGGCATCACCCATGCTTCATGTGGGTTCCCTCTGAAACGACACCCAAAAAGGTCCCCCCCTTCTACACGTCCCATTGGCTTCCCTGGCTAAATGGAACAAGTGTAATCAACCGAGGCGGATGACTTTTTTTCAGCTCGAGGTGGAGATCCAAAGAGTCCCTGTTTCAGTTGTGCCTCGCCGAGTGTCTCTCCGAATCTTGCGCGGGCAAGCCGTTTCCGCGGGCGGCAAGCCCAGACAGCCGAAGCAACGGAAAAGGGGCGCCAGGATGGAGACTTGGCTGCGCCAAATCGACGTTTCAGGGTTTTGAACCTCACCTTTTGGGGAAATTCGGGGGGATATGTCAACTTTTGGGTGGTTTTGAACCTCACTTGCTGTTTTTTTTTGGGGGGGGAGGGGAAATTGAAAGTTGAGTTTGCCTTTTTGGTAGTGATGTTCGGGGAGAACATCTTGGAACCCTCCAGAGTGGCAGACTGGTTCTGGCCAAAAGATACGAGCCGCAGTTGCAATGGCACAGTTCCGTTGTGGGGCAGAGGGGATGACTAAATCAACATGGGAGGGAGACCTGTGCCATCTACTTGTACCCAACTGATTCTTGGGATGGAACAGTCAAGAGCTTGAGGCGAGCGTGTTTGAGCATAGACGTCATCTGAAAACGCGCGCACCAAAGCTAAGAGTTGCTTTGTCGCTGCGCAGTCCTCATGTGCTTGGTGATGCTGAAGTCGGCATGGGGGGTTTTCACTGGTGTCACAGTGCACACATGTGTTCGTTTGACGCAGGGAGTGGGAACCCAGAACTCATGCCTGGTTGTCAAGGTGTTTCTGTTTTTTTGAACGGCCACCCGGAGGAGCTCCTGTGCTATTTCGACCACTGCCATCTAACTGCTATCTTTTCCCGGCACTTTCCTAGGCGCCATTGAACAATGACAAACACCCGTGGCCCTCAAGACGCATCGAGTTCCACGTTGGGCGTCTTTGCCCATGAGATTGGGTGCTACAAACGCACCTCTATTTGTCCGATATAGGCTTTGGGTTCCATGTGAATTTGCAGAGGAGTATGTGAATTCCCTTGGGTGCCCTTCGGCTTTCCATTTCAGAAACCCACGGATTTTCCTTTAGATTGCACATGGGGTGTCAACTACGAGGGTTGTCTATGGGGTGTTCCTTTTCTCTCATGGGGTGTCAACTAGCGGGTTTGTTCCTTCCAGCGTGGGTTTGAGACTCCCCAGATCGAACCGTAATCCCAGGGATGCGCGCCAGTGGCGCTGAAAGCAAACGCCGTGGTGCACTGCGGCTACGGCGCCATGCCGCTTCAGGAGCCCTTGAAGCATCGGACGCGCGCCGGGTATCTCAGAATAGGAAAGTAGGGATCCCCTTCTTGCATGGTTTTGCAAGAAAAAGCAAAAGGACACAACCTACCTGGAGGAAACTGGTTCTAGTCACCAATTTTGAGAAACACCCAAATTTAGGGTAGACTAAATATGGAAGAAAGTCAGAAAGATGGTGGTTTTGAGGTCAGGGGTTCGCCAAGGTTATGTGAGTGAAGATGTGAATCCAACATCAGCTGGAACTGCGATGCCATTTGCTTTCGCCCCCTGGGTGTGTGTGTGTGTGTGTGTCATGTTCAAAAGACCTTCTTGATTACTTTGTAGGGATAGTCATCAACTTGGGTAATTTGCAGAACCATAAAAGCTCCTAAGGGAAACCATGACCATGGCCAGTTTAGACCGTCAGGTGCTGATTTTCCCATACGTGGGGAACCGGCGTCCTTTCGGTTTCAATTTCGGTTCAGAAAAAGCCGAGAATTTCACAAAAGACGCAACAGCTGTGTGGCTTTACACATTAGGACATAACACCCACCAAGCCTTGGCTTCCTGAAACTGGGTTCTCTTAGCATACTGTTCCTTTTCCAGGGGAAACGAAAGGTTTTTTTTGCTTCATTGTTCCCAGTTGTTTTTTCCAGACTGGCTAAGTGGACCTCAGACCTCGATTTTTTTGGATTCCCTACAGGACTTGGAATGCCCTTTGAAGTTGATTGGCATCAAAAGTTGGCCGAAGCTTCGGCTACACCAAATCTGGGTGAGCACGTTGCTTGCCTGGCATGGCAAATATTCAGCAGCAAGGAACAGCTGAATTGTTTTCGCCGTAGTCATTTGGCCATTGTCCCGAAGGGCAATTTACACGACTTATCGGCCTGCATTCGCCAACAGTTTCCAGTAAGGAAACGGAGTCTAGGCAAGCCACGAAGACAAAGCTCATTGCGATTCCATGTGCATCATTGGCAAACCATCACTGCCGTAAACCATTGGTTTGGCAGCCCTCGCTCCTGTACCAACTGCCGCTGGTTAGCTCCCGAAAAGTTGGAGGATCCAAGCCGCTCGGCCTGACGGATCCATGTCTGGTTGAAGTCTCCAAACCTGTTCCAAAGGTACCTGTGCCTATTGCTTGGGTACGCTAACTGATTGTTACTCACTACATACTTACCAACCACGTACTGGCCACCAGCTTCACCACCACCCAAATCACTTAAGGAATGGTCAGTATGTGTTTGTGTCCCCAAGTGACTCACGTGACATGGGATTTGGGTGCGCCTCCATTGCCGGAACTGGTGCTTTTTCACTAGCCCCAGTTGGGGCTTAACCCTGGCTGGGTGGTTGGTTGGTTGGTTGGTTAGTTGCATGGTTGGTTTTAGGCTGCCTGAGATCTTAATGAGGGCCGTTCTTGGGTTGGTTTGGGGTTCATTAGGGCTTGGCCAAGCGTGATATCCAGGCTGCTGTGTGGTGGGTGTAAGATTGTCTTTGGGTGGGTATGAGTTGGCTTGGCTGATTTGTGCTAGGTTTGCGGCCGGCTTACAAGTGGCTTTAGGGTTGCTTTGTGGATGTGGTTGCGTGAGGTTTGGGCCAGTTTTGGCGGTTTGGGGCAACGTCCAACCAATCATACCAGGCAAAAGCTCAGCCGTGCCCTGATCCGAACTCAAACCGACCCAAAGTCAACCCCCAACCAGGAAAGTGCAGGGGGGGCTTGTGTTGAACCGGGGCAAAAGCACCGCAACCTCTATCTCCTAGTTGGAAGCTGCGGTTCGTATGACCCATGTCATGCCCCTTCCAGCAAATGATGTTGAATATTGACCATAGCTCACTCAGGGTTTGCCTTTTCACCCCCTTAGAGGATCTGGAGGGAAATAAGGGGACCCACCTAAGAAGGGTGCTTGCAGTTCTAGGGGTCCCCGGCAAGGGCAAACGGCAAGTTACCTGCTGCTAGACATCCACTTGCTAGCGTCAGGACGATCTTCAGCACTTCACTGTGTTGAGTGGTGGGTCCGACGCCGAGCTCGACCGAGGGTTGCACTTGCAAAGCATTCAACACTTCACCAAATGTTTGCCTGTTTTACAGCGAGCCGTAGAGTTTGCAGATGTTACATTCCAAGGAGTTGTCCTGTCCCAGTTGGAAGTGATTCATTCCACTGTTCACAGGGCGTCATCGATCTCTACTGGTGCAGGAGTTTGGCTATCCACAGTATAGACCAAAATCAAAGTCTGTTAGAGCTTGCCTCAAGGGCTTGTATCAGCTTGTTGGTGGTTTGGAGGTGTTCCGGGGTGGTTTTTCATTTACCTTTCAGAATCAGGGGTTTAATTTCGAGCCAACCCGCCAACTATGGGAAACCTGTCTGCAGCTTGGCTGTTGTCGACACATTGAGTTTTGTTCCTGCAGCGGGTTGTGGTATGTTGAACGTGTCTCGGAAGACGTGAGTCGCAAAGCGTTGACCCTGCAGGAGTGCGTGCGTGCGTGCGTGGGTGGGTGCGTGCGTGCGTGGGTGTGTGTGTGTGTGTGTACGTGTGTACGTGTGTACGTGTGTACGTGTGTACGTGTGTACGTGTGTACGTGTGTACGTGTGTACGTGTGTGTGTGTGTGTGTGTCACGTTGGAGCATGGCATTGATCAAGACACATGTTTTGTGTCCACTGTACCTGCCAAAAAGTGGGCTTGCACCCAATTTGGCCATGAATTTCAATACAGAACCTTCACAAGAGTCTCGGTGGCGGCATCAATCCCCACCTAAAAGCTGCCGACCAAAGGATCCCCCAGTAAATTCATTGGTTCTTCAAAGAACCAGGCTGCTTGGGGTGTTGTGATACCAAGGGAATCCCCTTGGGAATGCAGCTGTTGTGGCAGTCCACTGTGGTATCACCACATCCAGGTTATTTCCCAACTTGGCCATGAGATTTGAGATGGGTATTTGGATAGGCTTGATTGCGTTTACCAGTGGAGACCGCGCTTTTTCTTGGCAAATCCTCGCCGTTCCATGTCTGCCACTTTACATGGTGCTCCATTTTGCAATTTGGCCACTTCCGGCACCGCAGTGTTCAACTTGGGCAGCAGGGGAAGCATCTCAGAAGGTACCAACCTGTTGGTTTTCAAGAAATCTATCACTACTGGAAATATGCATTTTTCCCACGGGACTCAAACAAATGGAGGATATACGAGGGCGGCTGGTTTAAGCTAAAAGAGGCCACCGGTCCGAGGTCGAAGAACCTCACTGAGCAGACCTTGCTAGCCCTGCTTGTTTCGAATCGAGAGGAAGAACAATCCTGACATCGCAGGTACGTTTGGCATCCAAGCTCAGTCCGCACAGTCCTGCCAAATGGCGGAGTACCACAGATTTTGGACAAGAACTAAGTCCCCCCGTAGTGCCCGTTTACCCTTTTTTTGGGGAGGGTTCCCCTACTAAAATACACTACAGAGAAAAAATCGGGAGCCCTTATTCTAACCTCTCTACTGGGGGACCTAGAGGATTCCACCTCCGGCTTGAACCCAGTCTTTGGCTGACCCCCGGTGGAGGCGATACACAGCTGAGATGCAATGGTTGCCCTGCAAGTTCTGAAGCGATCAAAGCCGAAAAGGCGGATAAACCTGGAAATTCTGCCAACCTACAGGCAACAGGTGATATCTAGCTAGTACATTATCTGAGGTCTTCAGATTCCGTCCTGCCTCATTCAGAGCGGTTTCCCGATTTGGATTCGGGATCCATTTTGAAGAACCCAGCCTTTGGAGTCTCCAATGTGTATTAATCATATTGGGCAAACTAAATATATATCACCCCCAAAGATATGACCTTTGGTGCACCTCAGATTGGCCAAGCAGCCAAGCGGCCAAGTTCGATACAACCACAATCCCAACACTTGTGTTTACCGGCAACCAACCAATGGTGGGGACATCCGCCCTCATTCTCGACCATGTGATACCAAGTGTTGATTCAGGTCATGTTTTGGGGAGTGTGCGACCACTCTCATGAGACTCCCCATGGCTGGAGTTGTTGAAGGGCGAGCAAATGAGCAGTTCTCCGTTTTATCAAGAACAGCGGATCGCCAATGAGCAAGCAGGAGGTTTCCATGCAGCCCTTGGGCCCTACGTCACGTAGGGCCGACGGAGTTCGCGGGTTGGGCCACGGTCGGTTTGCAGTGTATTGCGCCCTTGCCAGCTCTGGAGATGCAACCTACGGACGCCATATGAGGTGTGGATCAAACCCACGGGGCTGGAATACTGTCAGGAAGGCGGCCTTTGGCCACGCACATGTCGTGCCTGTGCTGGCTCGTGAATCAAGTACGTATGCCGGTGCCTGGAAGTTATCAAGGCCTGGACCTTGAGCATGCCGTGAGGTAGCGTGCAAGTTGGCTTTGGCTATTGGGATCTGTTCACCCGGTTTGCTTTTGGTTTTGTGCCCTGGCAAATATTTCCCACTTGGCATATATCTGTCCCGACCTCGCTCGGTGACGATGTCACCCCCGATGGTTGTGGCTCTTTGGGTCGATCATCAGCTTTGCGAGTGGGCGGTTCCTCCTCCCACACCGGATGTTGAGGGGTGCTCGCGCTACGGCCGGGGCATGTCTCTGTAGCCAACAGTGCTGCGCAAACCCACCAGCCAGTTTTAATTCGCCCAGACGAATCGTGGCTGGGAGCTTCCCGAAAGTGATCCAGATTTCCATAAGACACCGGCTCAAATTCAACCGGTTTTTCATTTCAAACTTGAGAGGTTTGCTAAAGATGTTGGAAGTTATCGACAAGATCCAGTGATTTCAGCCGCCTGCCAGGCTGGGCGTACAGTCCGCAGACCTGGCGCCAGGCTCAGACAATCTGATGGTTGGCGCCACAGCTCCTTGTATTTCCCCTTAAAAGGCTAATAAGAAACAAAGTGAAGTTAGCTGGGTTGAGATTATGTTTTTGGAAAATGCGAAATGAGCTTCCGCATGGGCTGATGTTTTGGGTTTCTGGGCGTTGCCAAGAATGTCTATCATACCCAACAGTGAATGGGCAATTGTTTGACTTCTGCCGATGCCCTGCTTAGCACCCAGTTTGGTTGGATCATCTCCAACCTTTAACTGTTGGGGAAACATGTTTCTCTCACAAACCCACAAGTAGTTAAACTGTTTGTGCGGGGGCCACTGGCCACCAAGACGAGGCGTGCATGCCAAACAGGGACTTCTGACGCTTGCTTCAGGCTGTTGGCGCTTAGCACTTATTTGGCCCTAAGGCGGAGTTTCCCCGAACCTTTCAGGGATGTTTTGGGGGGTCGGTACGGTCCCTGCTTAATCTCTAACGGCGCTGTTTGTCAATGTGTTTGTTGGTTCTCTACAAAATCCTTCAATAGTTTGTGGCGTGTAAAGGAGATTCATGCAGATCGAGGCAATCCGCACACATGTCCCAGATGGGCGGTGCAGATTTTCCAGGATAACGGTATTGGGTGGGTGCTTCTCAATTGCTGCCGCTGGAGATATTGTCAGCTGCTGAACAAAAAGAGTGCAGAAATAAGTGTCTGCCAGATTTTAAACATTGGCGAGTGAGCAACTCCATTCTTTGCGACAGCCACATTGCAAAAGGTCAAATTCATTGCGAAACGAGCTGCAGACATGAGCAACTGCCAAAATTACTGGTAGTCTATTGTTGGTTTGGGGCGGGCATGGGGAACCCGCGCAAACGTCCCGCAAAACCTTGGGGGGCCATCCAATGTTCCATGTTTTGGGGAACCTTAGATGTTGTCCGGACATCATGGTGTTTGCTCTGGATTCTGAGCTGCGGCTTAGCCAATCAGTATCATCATGCATCAAAGACAAGTGCATGAATGGCAAAGCTTCTCAGAATCTTAGATTGAGTTCCAGACAGACGAGCTTTTCAGCAGGCCACAAGATTTAGACAATTTAGGGCTGCCACTTGAGTTCCGGTTTGGATGAGTTTTATCACCATCCCAGACCTTCTGCCAAAAGGGTACCTTTTTGGGGGGTCGTTTTTTTGGGGTCCGGGAGCCTGAAAGGAGCACAACGGTCAGAAACTTTTGGCGGAGAGATGCAAGCTGAGGTCTCCTACAGTTGGTCAGACGAAAGGAGCACAACGGTCAGAAACTTTTGGCGGAGAGATGCAAGCTGAGGTCTCCTACAGTTGGTCAGACGGCGAGTGGCAGACGGCCGGAATCGAAGGGTTGATTGATGTGTTGTTGCTGTTGTTTGGTTTGAGGCCCGGTGACAAGCATGGTAAATATGGACCAAAAATATGGACCATGTAAATATGGACCAGGTAAATATTGACCAAAAATATGGGCCAAAATCAAAGTTAGATACAGTTAGTCTTTGTGGTTGGGGGCAAGGCAGAAGTTATATGTCCCAGAGTGCCAGAGGGAAGTTTTGGCAGATCCAAGGGAATCCATCCCTAAGTACCTTACTGGTTGTAGGGAATGAGGCAATAACCCCGAACTGAACCTCTAGGTTCGTTGTAGATTCGCCTCTGAGCCCGATTATTTATCCCAAGACTGAGGCATATCCGAGGAAAAGCTGGGCTTCGAAAATGCTCCTGCCAGCGTGTTTGGTAGTTGGATGGATCTGCCTGTTGTTTTTTTGCGCAGCGGCAAATGTGGTCCCAAAGCCATCACTTACAGAACTATGGCCCCCTCGCCCACATGCATGTCAGTGGTCAGCTACAAACATGATCACGGATGCGGTTTTCCTTTGGGTTGCCCTGTAGACCACCTGAAAAGGGCACCGTTCGCTTCAAAAGGAAAAGCACAGCTCTGTATGCCATCGGCGATTTTTCCACCAACTTTGCCAAATGGAGGTTGTCAGAAATTTTGCTACCGCAGGCAGCTGCTGCTTTTAGAGGAGATGCCAAAAAGCCCACCCCCCCCCCTCCCCCCCCGAATTTTGGCAACCCTTACGAGTCCTTCAAACTAGAAACGTGAACCACTAAAAGGGTGTTTCCCATAGATTGCCATAGGTATCTTGGAGAGCATCATAGCCATAAGATGATTGAGGTGCTTCTAAGATTCTGAACATGTTGCTCCTCTGCCAGGCGGCCTTCCTGGGCCAGCTGCAATTTCTCAAAGAGCTTGGGGGCCTTGACAGCAGGCGCGTCTTTCCATCGCTTTCGTTCGATCGATCAAAGGTGAAAGGCATCCTTGGGGTGGTTTGAGAGGCCAAAGGAGAAGCAGCAAACAAGGGGGTCGCCTATTTGACACGCTCATCTAAGCGCAATATAAGGAGCTAGGTGATTACAGACATGATTATCTCACGACGACTTAACTCAGTTTTAAAGCGCCTCCCTTTTGGAAATGATGTGGTTTTGACCGCCAATTAAAAGTACCTGTAAAAGAAACTGGAAACAATTGAGTTAGTACTATAGCAATGCATGGTATGATTATTCAATGACAGCTAAATGCAGGGTGTGAATAATAAGTATTTGTTCTCTGTAGTGGTATGGTCGAATTGATCAAACCTTTGCCCCCAACCCCATTCAGATTTTTCAGGGCCTAGTAACTTGCCCATTGAGCAGATTGAAACACAAGAGAAATGGCTGATTGTTGAAAGGATGGCTGAACAGAAGGTATCAGCCCCAAAAAGTCAAGTTGGCAAGGCTGAGGAGACGACATGGAACCGACAGAAGGGTGAGTGTGCTCTCGCTTTGTGAATTGGACGAGTAAGAATCCATGTCCAATGACGATTATCGAGTTATGGCTAATATCGCCATGCTTCATGCTTGGGGGCTTTGGAGTAGCACCTTATTGGCAGTCATCTCCGCCTATTCTATGGAGAGTCCGCCGATCCGGGGGCAAAACAAACTCGCGATGTTGTAGGTTTTGTTTGGGGAATTTGTGTTTTTTTCCGGATTTCGGGAGATGGTAAATTATGTACAAATTGCATTATCGTCTTTTGTTCGCAGGTGTTCCTTGTCACGGCATGCCGATTGGCCACTCTGCCTGGTGTAGTATGGTTTTGCCGATGGGTCGTTAGTTGTCAAGCGCCAACAGCCAAGGATGAGCTGCAAAGTTCAACATTGAAAAGCAGTACGGGCATTCGTATTGTTGGTAAGGGAAGAGCATGCGGGGCCCACCCAAGTGTGCTTGCGTAATGACGAACTGCCAAGCCATACCAGTATTGTGGGTATGTGTGAAAATAGGGGGATGGCCAAACATGGGCGGTTTGCTTTCTGGTCCCCCTTTTGGTTGGTATTCAAACAAGAAGGTTGGAGCCACTATTCTGAGAACCCCCCACTCAAACTTTCCAGTCAAAGGAACCCCATTGTCAGTTTGAGAAACCCGCATTTTGAGCAACCTTTAAATTCCCCATTTGGAGGAGTCACGTTTGACCGCCTTACCCTCGCTACCTGTTTTCCGCAGACAACTCCACAGCGACGAGGGCCTCCGAGCGGCGGGCCTAGTTCAACAACTGGTGTGTTCTGTGTTCTTTGGACCTTTTTGTTGAGTTGGTTTGATGAGAACCCCATTTTGGAGGTCCCCTGATTTTTGACAATCAATGGGCACATGGACCCTGTCCTATCCATTTTGCCGGTGGAAAAATATCCCTATCGGTCTGCTAACTGTAGCTACTGGTTGGGTATGCTAATTGATTGTTACTCACTATAACTGATGTGTGTGTGTTTTTTAATGCACGTAGACTGCATGGGCGAGTATCAAAATAGGGACCCCCCAACAACAGCAAGGTGGTGTTCCTTTTGGTGTCCCTTTACCCTCGATCGAGCACATGGTTCCCTATGATCATGACTTGATTTGAATATAAAGTACGCCACAAACTTGTAAGATTTAAGGCCTTATACAGAATCTGACAACATCTTTTGTTTACCGCAGATTTGGGCCAAGACAAGTCCCTTCAAGTCCCTGTACCGCCAGAAATTGCGGACTGGTTCTCGGTCCACATAGACATCATGCATAGACGTAATGCCCGCGTTCCTTCATCAGGATAGGGAACACCTAACATGGCTCCATATAAATGCTCACCATAACTCATGGTTTGCCTGGCGTTCCTTTGCAGAGATTCCAAAGGTCCTTGCAGCAAGTGACGACCTGATGCAATGTGATAGGCCTGCTAAGCTCGGTTCAGCAGACCAAACACTTCTGTGACCTCCTCCAAAACTATGTTATATATATATATGCATATGTTTGTTTAGGGGCATAACAAAAACACAAGACATTGTTTGAACAGTCCCATGTTGTTGTTTGTTTATATATTCTTTAGAGTAGACTAGATGTGAGGCCTAGTCTGAAACTATTATTGTAAACGCTTCGCGTTGCCCGCCTCGGCCAGTCCGCTTTTGGCTGGCTTGGAGATTTTTACCGTGCGTGAGCTGGTTTCCAAGGCAGAGGGTGGGTGCATGTCCGCATGTTTCCACATGGCTTCAAGGGCCAAAAAGAGAGCCACAGAGAGCTACAGAATGGCAGTGGGTTAAGGAAATTTCACTGGTTTCTGGGTGGGAATTTTGCCGGTTTCTGACCGGAGTTTGACCTGTTTTTAGAAGGGGTTGACAGGTTTCTAGAGGATTTGATTTGCTGGAGGGGAGTTTGGAGTTGGACCGGTTTCTTGCGGGAAGGGCCGGAGTTAGAGAGGGGATTTGACTGGTCTGGATGGGAAGTTGGCCGGTTTCTAGGAGTGATTTGATCGGCTTCTGGGGAATGTTTGACCTGTTTCTGCGGCTTTCTGAAAGGAACTTGACAAGACAAAGGGGCTGATTTGGAGGATCCCGAAACAAATCTGCGGGGTCTGAAGTTGAAGTTGGTCCCAGTCTTGAGGGCAGCCTAGTGACGTTACCCTGCACCACCTCAAACCACAATTAATTCAGTGCAGGTTTATATATTCACCACCGGTGTTTACCTAAGGGTTGCCATCATCCAATTTGGGTCCTAGCGACTCTTTTAATGGGGCAAGGACCCCTAGGGTGAATGTCAGCTTCGAATCCGGACCGTACTCCGGGGTGGTTCCCGGCTAGCACGGTTTCGTTTTTTCTTTCGGAAAATCTGCAACTTGTCTCACCTTAGCTCGTTTTGTTGGTTTGGACCTTAGGGCCTTCCCTTGCCTTCTTTTCGGAGGTCAGATCGGGACCCGCCATCCAAACCGCCGATTTGAGGCATTGGATGAGATGCCCACAGGAGACTTGTTGGTCCTCCGGCGGCTCAAGGTGCCCAGGCGAGCGACCAGGGGAAGAGCTCTGCGCCAAGGAAAAGGGGGTTTTGGGTTAATTTGGAAGTGGCTCCTTTGCTTGGAGTTGGAAAAAGACGCCTTCTTGCAGTTTTGAAGAGAACGGGCGTTCCCTAAAAAAGAGACCCATTTAGGTTTAGTTGGCCTTGAGGCGTTTCTTTTCTCAGGCTTGGTTGAGCAAAGCGATGATGCTGGCAGGGCGCTGCAGGCTGTTTGGGTCGGAAGCATGGCAGTTGAGCCCCCGATGTTGACGAACATTTTGCAACCCAAGGGCAACTTTTTGCAATGTTGGGCGATGTGTGTTGTTCGTGGGCCAGCTAAGTTGCTGAAAAAGGACTTCAGATGCGCGATCTGTGTGATAGCTGCGAGATACACCCTGACGCTGGGCAAGTCCGATTTTGGCCGCTCACGCAGGGCCAGCATGCAGATCCGGGATCGCAACATGAGGCGGGGCAGCCCAGCAACTTCCAATGACTTTTCAGGCTTGGCTTGCAGAATTCATAAACGGGAAACCACACATCCCTGCATTTTGACTCATTTGCACACAGCAGACCGTGCATTCGAATCAAAGGCTGGTCTTTCTTGGCCGCTTGATATGCGAAGCGCACGAACATGGGTCCCACTCGTTCGGTGCGTTCGTATGAAACAACAGCATCGTCTCGCAAAATGCGCTGGCTGCCAGCGTTTCAGGTGGCTCCGACCAAAGCGATTCCAGGGCCTTAGCGATTCGCCCTGTCTGAGGTTGAAAGGCCAATGGCACTTTCCTCAAGGCTTTCCGGAGGTACAAAGTGCCAGCCTCAGCTGCCAGGATCCAAACCCCCCTAGCCTCCCCTTGTTTCCCCAAAACAACACCCTAACAAGGCCTTTTTGGCGTGTGTGTGTGTGTGTGTGTGTGTGTGTGTGTGTGTGTGTGTGTGTGTGTGTGTGTGTGTGTGTGTGTGTGTTTCTCCGCATAGCAAATAGCCGCTATCACCTAGAAGCTCTTAGTATCCAGCCAGGCGAATCAGCTTCTTCCATTGCACAGCTGGACCAAGGAAGCTAACCGGGTTCTAATAAGCGTGTTCCGATCGCTTGCACCAAAGGACAAGCATCTGTGTAGCATCTTAGAGTTTGGATCGAACTCATGAAAGGCTCAGCCAACCATTTGGCTTTGTTTCAGACTGCAAACGTCTGAGGCGCCTGCGCAGACGGTGACGCTTCTGTGCTCGTCAGCCCACCCAATTTGCAGTCCCTGTGTCTGGAACTGGGCACCCTCGGCGTCAGATAGAAAATAGATGGAGGTGTTCAAAGCATATGATTCACCTACGCTTGATGCAGTTGGACACTTTCAGTGCGTTGGTGCTGCTATCGATTCTATCGATTGTTTTTTTTGACATAGTTGACAGCTGCAAGATTGTGCGTCTGGCAGCTCCTGTGGTTTGAGAGACACCAACGTCGCAGAGGAGTCTCTCAAGGCCCAGGATCTCACGACCGGCAAAATCCTTGCATCCACAGAGCAATCCCTTCAAACCACCCCGGAGACCGAGCATTGTTTATCTAGCTTGGTTTTGTGCTTGTGTCTGTGGTGCCACGAAAACAACAGAAAGCGACACGGACATGCATTCCCGCCGGAGGACGCAACAAATACATGACATGTACGAACCAATGCGATCTATCTAGCCAAATGAATCTTCAATCAGTATGCCAGATTGTAGTGGTGTCCCGCGGATTCGCGGAATAGGATTGGGGATTTCCATTGAGCAACCCAGATTCCAGCAATCGCACAGTCGCAAGAACAACTTGGTACTGAAGTTGTTAAGGGCGGATTGACCCGGCGATCGATTAGTGGCTCACGTGAAGGGCATGACAGGCCTTGCCGAGCCAAAGCGGAGATGCCGATCCAGTTTCGCTGCGAGCCCAGCAAACGGTCCGCCAATTCATGTTTAAATTCAGGGCGCACTAGGAATGGGGCGTGTTTTTTGCGAGCCCCCTTGTCAAAAAAATCCGGAAGGAACACCGTTTTGGGTTTCGACACATACCCACATGGACCGGAATCGGAATTGTCTGGTGTATCCTGGGGTTGCGCCAAGTCAGGTGAGTTGGTGTGTTATTCGTGTGATCGCTTGCACTTCATTTCGCATGAGCGCGGGCTTAGGCGCACCATCATCAGATTGCAGCTTCCAAAGAAATGAAGCTTGCGCCAACAAATGATGAGACATTTAAGTTGATTTGTTATGTGCATGAATGCTGTGGAAGGGGGAGAGGACTTCACTTGGCGAATGACAGTTGGTTCATCTTAAAAGGCATCTGTCTCTATTCGGTTCTATGTGGTTGATTTGTTCAATTCGAATGTTGCGTGTCTTTATCAAACCTTCATTTAAATGCAGATTGAACAAATTATATAATTATTAATCAGGGTACAACCAATGTGGTCAGGTACGCAATGGGAATAGAAATGCGTTCGCGTCCGCGTAGGTTCGCCGAGACTGTCTGGGGTTCGTGAGGGGTTCGCCTACTCTCGGTGAGTTCGCACAACGCTGGCTGGGTTCGTAAGCTTCGGCTGGCTTTTCTTGTAAATTGTAGATGTGCCTGTGGGTTCGCCAGAATAGTAATGATAATCATATATATATATATGTATATTAATATATGATTATGTCTGTTGAGTTTTGATAAGAGAAAGGTGCATGTTGTTAAAATTATAAGATACAGAATTGAATATATTTGGAAATCATATTGGATAGTTCCATTTAATCGTTTCTCTAATAGCTGAAAGTTTCGGGGTCTTTGATTACAAAGGAATTGTATTGAAATGGGGTTCTGGAAATAGTTATTGGGAAGGCTCCGGACGAAGGGTATGGTTGGGGTTTTATGGAGCGGTTGTTGGATGGGAATATGAGTTTGGGGTTTCGAGGGGTTGTTATATGGGGCGTTTGTTGGATGGATGTGTTTTTTTGTTTTTAGATAAACTAATTGTTTTATTAGGATGGTGTTGGAAGGAAGACATGAGTTGAACGATTATGTTATTATAACAGTAATAATTATTATTATTATTTGTTTAAAAAAGCATGAAATAGATTACACTATTGTGCTTTTTTGATCTTTTTTTTTTTAGTAAATATCATTATAAAATTAATTTATAATGAATTTAAGTTTAAACATATTTAGCTTATTCTCCTATAAATTCTCCTATAAACCGCCGGTGCGGCCTCGGGTCGCGCTTCCTCTGCACCGCAGAGCCGCTGCCGTGCTTGCGGAGATCGGCTGTGCCCGTCCCAGTCCTTTCTCCGCGGCACAAGCTCCTGCCTCTTTGCGCAGCCCGGAAGTCCTCGAAATTTTGCCGAAGTTTGAGGGGGTTCTTCGGATCTTCGCTTAGAGGTCTCGCGGCATAACCCGGCCAAATTTCCCCCGAATTTTGGGTCGCTTCCGGCGACCCGGCTCTCAGATCTCCAGACGTTACCCCCGCAAATTTCCGCAGAATTTGGCGGCGAAAAAATAGCAGGTCAAATTTTCCGGGAAATTTCGGGACCCGTCCGGATCGAAATTTCTCGAAAATTTCGGGCTTTGCCCTTTTTCCTTCTTTCCCGTTTTCCCTCTTTCTCCCTTTCCCCATTCCCTCTTTCCCTCTTTCCATCTTTCCCTCTTTCCCCCTTTCCCTCTTTCCCTCTCCGGCTCTCTCTCTCTCTCTACCTCTCTCTCTCGCTCTCTCTCTCTCTCTCTCTCTCTCTCTCTCTCTCTCTCTCTCTCTCTCTGTCTCTCTCTCTGTCTGTGTGTTTCTGTCTGTCTGTGTGTTTCTGTCTGTCTGTGTGTCTCTGTCTGTCTGTGTGTTTCTGTCTGTCTGTGTGTTTCTGTCTGTCTGTCTGTCTGTTTGTTTCTGTCTGTCTGTCTTTGTCTGTCTGTCTGTCTGTCTTTGTCTGTCTGTCTGTCTGTCCTTGTCTGTCTGTCTGTCTGTCTTTGCCTGTCTGTCTGTTTGTTTCTCTCTGTCTGTCTGTCTGTCCGTTTCCGTCTGTCTCCGTCTGTCTCCGTCTGTCTCTGTTTGTCTCTGTCTGTCTCTGTCTGTCTCTGTTTGTCTCTGTCTGTCTTTGTCTGTCTCTGTATGTCTTTGTTTGTCTCTGTCTGTCTTTGTTTGTCTCTGTCTGTCTCTGTTTGTGTTTGTCTGTCTCTGTCTGTGTTTGTCTGTGTCTGTCTGTGTTTGTTTGTGTTTGTCTGTGTTTGTCTGCGTTTGTCCGTGTTTGTTTGTGGTTGTGTGTGTTTGTTTGTGTTTGTGTGTGTTTGTTTATGTGTTTGTTTCTGGTTGTTTGTTTGTTGTTATTTGGTTGTTGTTGATAATGTGTTGTTGGTTGTTCGTCGTTGTTTACTTATTATTGTGTTTGTTATTGTTTGTTTGTTGTTGTTTGTTTATTAATATTTGATATTGTTTTACATTATTGTTTGCTATTAGATATTTGTTATTATTTATTTGTTATTTATTTATTATTGTTTGGTTGTTATTTGATTGTTATTATTTGTTTATGATTGTTTGTTTGTTATTGGTTATTGTTTATTTGTTGTTGTTTATTTATTGTTATTTATAGGTTATTATTTATCTATTTTTATATATTTATATATATATATATTTTTGGTTCGTTATTTATTTTTGTTTATTTATATTTTTAATATATTTTTAATATATTTTTGATTGTTTAATTTGATTTATTTATATATATTTTTATTTTTATATATTTATTTATTGATTGATTGAATTATTTATGATATGTTATATTGATTTTTATAAATATTTGTTTATTTTTTTTTATGATTTATTGTTTGATTATATTTATTTTGTTTATTTGGTTTTGGTTGTTTGATTTATTTGTTTGTTTTTGTAAGTTTGATTATTAATTTTATTATTTTTGATTATGTATAATTATCTTTGTTGATTTTTGTTTTGTTTGTGTTTGATTGGTGTTATTTGTTTTTGTATTTAATTTGAAATTGTAATAAATATAAATTCATTATAATGTTAATTTAATATTAAATATATTAATATATGTTAAATTATAAATACTAATTTTAATATATTAAATTTATGATATATTTATATATTTAATTTATAATATTTAATTTAATTTTAAATTTAATTTAAATATATTTTATAAATATAATTTAAAAATAATAATTTATTATAATATTATAATACAAAAATAATAAATATTAATAATATTATTTGTTTAATATTATTATTTATTATTTATAATAATTTATTAATATTAATTATTACAAAACAAAAAAAATATAAGAATTAATTAATATTCCTAATTCTGGAAATTGTTTATTTTCGCGAGAAGAATCAAATCTTTCGCGAATTTTTCGTGATTCCATCGTGACACACTGTTGTTTGCAGCGTGCGCTGTGGAGCCATTATGCCTGTTGCAGTTATATGTAGTGTCAAATATAGGTAATGTCAAATGCAGGGAATCATCGTTTTTCCCCCCCCCCCCCCTTATCATTTACAGTTGCCGGCGATATACGGAACCTTATAATAAATTCCCTAATCTTTCGCTAATTCAATCAACATTATTAATTTACACCAATCCCAACACAAACAAAGAATCAATAATGCAAGTGTAAGTGCTACTCTCTTTTTATAAGAGAATAAGGTTTACAAATATATAAGTACACAGGCTAACCTCCACGAATTCAATACGAAATCTTTCATAAAAAAATAAATTCCTTTCGCGAATTCCATCGCCAATCTTTCATAGAAAAATTTCAGCCAAAAATAATAATCATCAAATACATAATTCCTTGCAAAGACCTATTAATCAACCCTCATTTTTTTTACTCCTATAAATATATATAATTCAAAATAACATTCAAACAAATCCAAATTTCTATCTTTATAAAATCAGAATTATCGAGCTAAATCCACACAAATCTATTCTTATCCGAGACTTGGTAAATTATATAGTCGGGCCAACTCATTTTGTTCTTTGTTTGATTTCAAAATCATGATTCGGTTATTGATATCCAAAGGTTTTTTCAAAAATTAAATTCGTTAAAATCTTGAATGTATGTTGTACAAACCATCACACTCTGTTGACAACTGCGTACGCACAGTCAAGGTTTGCGCATTCGTTGCGCAAACTAATTGCCAAAAAACTATCGCACGTGACCCAATCAATTCTCAGAATTGGACACGGCTGCATGCAACGTCCTACAAATTTATGATGCACAGTTTAATTGCCAGGTGGCGCTGTCTCCTGCCCATAAACATGACATTGGTCAAGAATCAAGAACAAGGAGTCAAATGCAAACTGTTGATTTGGGTCTGGCGGCCCACGCAGCAACTGCCTCAGGCAAAGCGCCAGCAAGTTCCGGATCACTGGACAACAGGAACTCAGAACCTGGCGGGAAAGACTCCACGTCGGAAAACGCAAGGGAGAGACCATGCGCCCGTGGTTCACCAAAACAAGTCCAGGCAATGTCAAGAGGTTGATGTTCGCCCCAAACACCTCTGATCCAAATATCCAACCAAGTGGTTCCACATGACGCAAATCTCCCACCAAGCAGGAATGCTTGCCTGTCCTTGGAAAGCCCAGGTGCACAGGATTACCATTTGGACCCATTCACCGCAGACAAAGCCCGCGGGGGGGATCATTACATTGCTGTGGCAAAAAATGCTTTTACACGCCGGCTGCCCCACCACCGACTGCCCCACTGCCGGCTGCCCCACCTCGGGGAGATGTTTTGCACTCTCCGCACCCAGGTTGTGAAGCACACAGGCGTCCGATGGGAACTCGCTGCAACTCTCCTCGCGCGGAAGAGCAAAGTTGCGGCATCTGCTGCTCCCCTGCTCCGTCTTTTTCCTCTCTTCTTGAGGCTCTCACTCCCAGAAACAGAACTCAGATGAAATCAGATAAAATCCTGTTCTGCATTTTGCCCTGAACGCATAAGTCCTGTGTCAGGCGAGGGAGTGCATGACCTCTGTCAGCTTCTGCCGCCCATCCTAAGCTGTGCTTGGCCGTGAGAAGTGGCACCCATGTCCATCCATTTCGCGGATCAATGTCTTATTTCCAGCGAGCACCAATTCGCAGGCGAACCCAGAAATGCCTTCCTAGGTTTACATATATATATATATATATATTTATAGATACATATGTGTCATGCAAATTCCCTTCCAATAGGTGGTAGATGCCTGTCCGGCGTGCAACAAATCGGAAGTG